TTTTTTCCTAATTTGTTTTTGGCCCCACAGTTATAATGGCCAGAGTACTGTAAGGAGCTCTGCCCCGCTACTGTTTGCACCATGCTTTTCATAGATAGTATCTACATTAAGAATCTGGTAATTCTGCAAAAGTACTAACATGCTCAAATACAAGCACATGACAGGTGAGTTGTGAAGCTTGTGTTGCCTGGTGAATCTCATGTATCTTCCTACGCCGTGGTTTGCACAGGGGCTGTTGGACTTAAATGTGCTTGTTGCTGACTACCTTAATAGAGGGAAGTTGTGGCTTAAGCTTTGTAAAATGTGTGGTTTAGATCCTCAACCAGAAGGTGCTAAACAAACAAAAAATGGTAGCCTTGTGATGTTTTAATGGTAAATTGTTACAGAAAGTTTATTTTCTAATTCTGTGTAACTTGGAATGGATATTAATACTTCTAAAACATATACAGATTAAAAGCATTCATATTTTTTCTTTTTTTTTAATAGAAGAATGCGTTATTTGTGATTACTTTGTGCTTGTTGGAGAGCCTACAGTTATTAGTTGCCCAGTAATTACATTGCCAGTGCTTCACTCTGATTACAATCTGACATGGTATAAAAATGGTAGTGCTACACCAGTAACCACAGAGAGAGACGCCAGGGTCCATCAGCGAGGGGGCTTGCTTTGGTTTATTCCTGCAACGCTGGAAGATTCTGGACTTTACGAATGTGATGTAAGGTAAGGAAGGGAGGAGGGAAACAACTGGGTTGCTAATGCTTACAAGTGTGATAATATATTTGTGGAATTGAGTGTACAGAATTTTTTGTTCTAGGTAGAGAGCTTAGATCAGTTAAAAGCACTGTTTTGACCATGCTTTTTGTTTCTGCGTGCAGCCTTTTTTTCCTCTTCCACACATTGCAAAAGTGGTTTATACAGAAGACTATCTTAAAGCATGATAATACTAACAATGGTCTGTGTGGTTTGTTCATTTGTTTTGGACGAAGTGTAAGGGCACAGGGAAGAGTCTTAACTGCTTCAGCTTCTCCTGTGTTCAAATTGCTGTTTGATACTGACAGATCAGAAGAACATTTTGGTTTCTTCATTGGATGTGGTTTAATGGAAGCAGGATCTAAGAGGAGCAAACTCTGTATGTTATGCAGTATCGCCACATACAGACTTTCTGGAGAGCTTAGCAACTTTTTGGGAATCCTTTTAGAAATTTACAAATTAAAAGGCAGAAAATTATTCTTATGTTTTATTTTAAAACATTACCAGATGTTACTGGTCAAAAATGAGAATGAATGTGAAGAGCAAAGCAATGCACGACAGCTTTAGAGACAGTGCAAGTAATGCATCCCCAGTACTGCTCAAAAGATCTGAGTGCACAGAGAAGAAGAAAAAAGGAATAGATTCTTTTCACCTCTTCGGTACTTTAAAGCTCTTGCCATATTTACAGCTGAGATTAGTGCACTGGACTTCACCACTTCAGGTGGTCAAATCTTATTTATAATGACTGAAATTCGCTGTGTGCTGAACAGGAAATTAATTTTGGGAAGGCACACAGAAATTGTTCTTTTCCTCATGGTCTTGCCACAGCACACTGAGAACAGCCAATGCAGACTTTTTGGGTGACCCAAAACTTGTTTTAGTAGTGTGTAGCTATGTGTACTGGTGTGCATACAGTACACCAGTTAAGCTGAAGGCGTTTGGGTTGTGAATGTAGTAACAGTGATCAGCAAAAACATCCAGCGTAGGCACAGGTTGCAGGCTTTTGCACCTTCCTGCTCCAGAGTCGATAATGAAGCTAAAATTGGAAGTCAGAAGAAATGTAATCCTTTTAAAGCTACCGAGTTAAATAATTTTAATTTAGTCTTTCCTGCTATGTTTCTAGTTACTCTAGCTATGAGATGTGTTCCCATGGGCACCTCACATCCCTGGCTTGCATAATGTCAGCAGGACAAAAAAACTTGCTAAAGTTCAGTTGTGTTAACTGTAGGCTACATTTTGTGCATCAGTCACTTAAACCTTAATTACAGAGCTTGTCAAGGTGCAGTATATAGAAGTTGAAGCCAGAACTGTGAAAACACGCAGTTCACTCTTCTGGAAACTTCTCCCTTAGCATAGCATAGAGAAATGAAGAGTTGAGCAATGAATTAATAGAGAGTGTTCCTGTATTTCTGGCATAGGCTTCTGGTTTCTAGTGCCATCTCTCCTCTGCAGAGCTACTGTACCACAGGTTCTTGTGAGCTCTTGGTGTGAAGTGGTTTCACATTTATATTGCACCTTGATGTATATGTTATTCAAAAGCTGTCTCTCTTCTGCTAAGAGTTACAGCCTGTTTTTCTTGATACATCCCTCCAAGGAACGCTGAGATGAACCCGTCTTCTCCTGTTCATTTGGCACTGAGGGTGTTCCACTGCAGATATGTTTTGGGTTACCCTGCACTACTGTGTGTTGGCAAACGTAGCGCTGAAAATGGCAAGGCTGGGTTGGTGCTGTGGGCTCTGTAGAGTGTCAGCTCTGAGAAGTCCTAGCATCCTCTCTGGTGCTTCCAGAGCAGACTCCACTTCTGCTTACAACACAAAATCAGAGCTTATTCCCATCTCTTGGTCTGGAACAGGGGGTGAGGAGCTGAGGATGGTGTTTAAGAGCTAGGGAGGCTGTAGCAGGGGTGTTAGAGGCAAGGCTGGTGGAGATGCTGAAGTCCCTCTCCGTAAACTAACTCCTTGACTTGCTGGAAACAAGGAACTTCATTGTTAATGACCTGACTTGTCTGCTGTTCTAATTACAGGAGCCTTAACCACTCGGACCAAAAAACTGTACATTTAACAGTTTTTAAGAATGATAACGGTTTGTGTTTTAACGGAAAAATGAAGTTTGAACAAAAAGTAACGAGCGCAAATACTGGAAAGATTATATGCCCTGATCTAGAACACTTTAAAGATGAAGACAATCAGCCTGAAGTACACTGGTATAAGGTATTGTGCACATGTATTTCAGATATACAAGATAGGAAATATTCTATTTAAAATGTGTTATGAAGTAACTGTGAAAAACAGCTTTTGGAAGGGAAGGTTTATTTTGTCTACAGTTTGAGTAAGGCGTCTATCTTGCTACACTGTTGAGGAGGTGTAAGGAGGTATATTTTAAAAAAACAGTTGTCCATCTTTGGATTGCAAGTTTTTTCAGAGTCAAAAACATGTTTTGGTTTGTTGATTTGTGAAAATCTAGTTTATCCTTTGATTATTTTATGTAGATAATAAGTTTAAAAACTTGTATGTCTCCTTAAATACAAGGCTCTGCATAATTATTTCAGTTTTGCAGAATATTAGGCTTGTCCTGTCTGTTGATCATGGTGTGGTATTCTTATGCCTCTTGCTCTGATTCTGCCAAAATACTCTGTAGACTATGCAAGCTTAGAAACATGTATTTTGTCCATGTTAAGGTACAATTCTAAAGTAGTTCAACTCTTAATTCTGATGCTGTTATTAAAGTAGCTACATGGGCCTGTACATGTAAAATAACCTTTGTGCTGCACCTATGCATCTTCTTTTGAGATGAAGTGATTCTAAACCGCTTATAGGTCAGGAAAGAGAAGGAAGTTTTTCACTGTATTTGCATTGCCACAGAAACGGTAATACACCCAACAGCACGAGGCACTGCTACAGCAGCTCATTCGTCTCAGTGAAGCAGGAAGGCAGGCATGTATTCTCATAAACTCTGCTACATGCGCAATAACTTCTATTACACCTGAGATGGATAACTGTCAAGTTATTAAACGAAGGCAGTGAACTAAAACACAGCATTTGAAAACTTAAAGGGTTGGCTGCAGCGATTTTTAAAAAGTGCAAATGGAGCAAGACGTCATCAGACTTCATGTTACAGCGTAGTGATGCTTAGATAAGAACCCACATCATGGCTTTCAAAAAAATCAGTATTTGGCAAGTATTCTAATAATCAGTAGAATTCAGTAACTTATTTAATTATCAGATTATTAGTTTTCTTAAATCACAGGTACTTTTGATATATTTAGGAGTGTAAGCCTGGATTTCTTGAAGACAAGCGACTTCTTTTGGCAGAGGGTGCAAATGCTGTCTTCATTCACAATGTAACTGTACAAGACAGAGGAAACTACACATGCCGTATGGTATACACATATATGGGAAAACAATATAATGTTTCACGAACCATCAGTCTAGAGGTTAAAGGTGAGTGCATTGAGGTTATTCTCTTCTCTTTTTGGCTCTGCTGTAAATATTTGTATGCAGGCATAAGCTATTTGGCATGTTACTTTTCAGCTCTGTGAAATTAGAGTTGCAAACCTTCTTTAATTTTTTCCTGAATGCTAAAATTAAAATACAGTAATATATGTTGCTACCCTTGAGCATTGCTTCTGTGGAAGAATTGTCATGGGGAAATGGGGTTAGGAATGAGAATTAGAAGGAAGCAGTGGTTACTGGGGTGGGGGGGTTGCTTTTGCTAAAACAAATAATGCACAATTAAATTTAAAAAAAAAAAAAGAGGATTTTTTTCTGAGACCATCACAGCAAAACACCTGCTTGTGGCCCTGTTGGTAAACTTGCTTACAGAGTTCACTAGAATCTCAATTGATGGGAAAGGAGATGTGACAAGCTGTATAGATACTATAAAGCTAATAAATCTTCCTCTGGGAAGTATTGGCTTACTGTTGGCACTTGATTGTGCTTTTCTGCATCTAACAGGATGCAGAACTGGCTGTCTCACTCTCCCAGTACTGTCATTTATTGCTGTGATCGTTGTGATTGCGTCTTTGTAGGCAACGTTGCTGATGACCTGACCAGTACCATGATAGTAGTTCTATCAGAAAAGCTGGCTGGAGGTAGAGTGTCCATCTTTTTAGATTAAATCAAAATTCTGACTTTAGATAGTTGATACAAGAACAGTGGGTTGTTAGCAGCGGGTCTATATATCGTGCAGAATGATACAATTCCAGCCCAGTTTAAGTGTGTGCTTGTTTACTCTTTTACTTAAATACATATTCACCTGATCTAGGAGGTTGTTGATACAATCCCTCTTTCTCTTCCTTATCCATCTCTCTGACAAAGTTAATCGCAGTTTTTGGTTTTGTTTGTGTTTTCTGGTTTTGTGTTACTTTTGTATCAACTGCCAGTAAATTTGAGATTTTTTTTTTTAAAGTATTTTTAAGGTAAGCTGAAGCTTACCTTAAGCTTTTGTTAACTTGGAAGCTAAAATAGAATAGTTTGGATAGAGTACAGCAAATCTCATGAGATACTTTCTGTTGTAAATTTGAAACTGGTAGTAAGTATGGAGCTACAACAGTACCAAACAATAAAACGAAACCATTGTAAAAGTATCAGTTGAAGTAAGTTGTGGAACTCTTCTTGCCTGAAGAATTTATTTTTCTCTTTGTTTCTGTTAGAAGGACCACGACGGATGAGACCAGAGTTTATTTATCCGAAGAACAATACAATTGAAGTAGAACTTGGTAAGAAGTTACTATTTAAGAAGTCATTAACATTCAGTAAAACAAATAAGCTCTTGGTCTTTCTGAAATAACACGTGAACAGTTCCGCTGACTTCAGCAAGAGTGGGAGATAGGCATGTGGATTGAGGATATCTGGAAGACAGATGATAGAACATGATTCCCGCAAGTAGTTTGCGGGGGGAATAACTGTGTGCCTAAGATTAGAGTCTCTTGAGTGGCAGTGTCTGGTGGGATGCATATATTTTTTTTATTTTATTATTGCCATCTGTCCTTTGTACCACTTCTCAGCATCTATGTCTTGACATATCCTTGGTATCTGTGGAAATACGGTTACATATATGTAACATGTTAGAGTAGTTACCAGCTGACCAGTTCAGTAGTTTTTCCTCCTCCTGTATGTTTCCTGTCTCCCTTCCCTCTCCACAACCTGGATTTTATTCCTCGTTCTAGGGTATTAAAAGGTTTCAGATACTGATCTTTTGTGAAACAGTGAGCTGCTAGTTGATGGATATCCCAGGTATTGTTTATCTTAGAAATTTCTTAAACAAGAGATTCTGGATATAAGGAGTAACTTTTTCCCAGTGAGGACAGTCAGGCAGTGCAGCAGGCTCTCCAGATAAGTTGTGCAGTCTCCATCCTTGGAGGTTTCGGAACCCGACTGGCTAAAGCTCTGAGCAGCCTGGTCTGACCTCAGAGCTGGCCCTGCGTTGAGCAGGAAATTGGACTAGAGACCTCCCAGAGTCCCTTCCAACCTCAATTACTCTGTGATTCTATGAGCCAAGTATATGGTATGCAAGTCTTTTTCTAGGGCAAATGTGTACATGTTTAGATTGCACCATATATTGGACAGAATTGTGTTCTACTATGTAGCCCAGAAGAATGAGTTTTGGAGCTGCTTGAACTGTTAATTTTTTTTCTTGTTTTGCACCAAGGAGAACTGTTTCAAACAAAGTATTTGATTAAAAAGGGCATTAACTGATTTTGGAGAAGTGTGATTGGCTATTTACTAGAATTTCCTAGTACAGGATCTAAGCTGTTTTGTAATCTTTTGAGGAAGGATTATTACCAGTTAGGTCATTAGAGAATCTCTGAGGAAAGGTTGTGTTGGGGCACTGGCATCACACGGGAGCTGGGGCCAGAGCATTGTGGATTATTCTTACTAACGTCACATTGATGGTAGTCCCGCATAACACGGCTACTTCTGCTGCTGCTTTTTCTCACATTGAGCTTGTAAATACTGCGTATATCAGGTGTTCTTTTCTCATGTTGAGGCTTCATGCTTCTTCTCACATTACGTGAAACGTTTTGTCTGGCCCAAATTCTAACTTTGAGTATATGGTGTTAAACTAAAGTGAACAGCACTGAAATACTGGTGGGTTTTGTAGTTTGGGGCTTTTTTGTTGCAGTTGTTCTGGTTTTTTGGGGTTTTTCTTTCCCTTTTCTTTTTGACCTCAACAACGTGTGAAAGATATCTCATTCAAAAGTTGCTAGGTTCTGGTGAGGATCAGTAGATTTTGACCAGAATAATGAATGAGCTTTAATAGAAATTATGTTCCTCCAAAGTCCAGAAGGCTTTGTTTTAAACAGTGGGAATATTCAGGATCTGACACAAACAGTATTATCTTATAGACTTACAGTCCTGCAGGCTTCAGATGGTTATCTAATTCTGTTGGAAGTATTCAGAAGTGGCTCAGCAGCTTCTTCTTTTCTGGTAATTACATCTCATCTTCATTACAATTCCATGCCTGAAAAGCTTTATTTGTGCTCTTCCACTAATAAAGAAATTTGTTCACCAGATCTTAGATTGAAACAGGGAGACTTGCCACAGTCACTTTTTTTGCCTCACACAACCCTAATCTTTGTGTGCAAACTTTCCTTTTCCTTTGTTATTGTAACTGTGGAAGAAATGAAGTAATATTACGGTGGGGCTTCCATATACTGTATCTCCCACCCATTAAAATATCATGTAAATCTTGTCCCCAGTTCTGACTGGTAATTAGTTATGACTTCCCATTTAATTCAGAAAAATTCTTACCAATGCAACCTCTACTCAGAAGGAGTCTGATCTGCATAGGCCCTTAAAAAGGCTCTTTAATTTATTGAAGACATCCTTTAGGATTTTCTTAATCCTTGATAGCACTTGCTGAGAAAATGGAGAATAGAGCAATTATTAGTCCAGGGGCTGCCTGTGACTCTCGGCCTATATTAAGATGTGTTATGCGACAAGTTGTTTAGACTCCTTATTTTAGAATAGCATTTGGTCCATATTTGTTATGGCTTGGACACTGCATTGATTAAAAGTTGCTGATGTATTATTGGGTGCCTTAGACCAGCTAAGATAAACAAATCCAGCTTTGATGCCTTACAGACATTAGGAAAGCGGTCACGCATGAGACTAAAAGGAGACGCAAAGCCTTCACCCACAAGTGGGTTTATTGTGGCTACTGAACAGCTACAAACGATTCCCTACTATAGGGGGACCCTTTAAAGGAAGTTGGTGAAGTTTTGGTTTGGTGGTTTTTTGTTTTTTTTTTAAAAAAAGGCACTGCCATTCTGTATTGGGTTTGCTTGGCAAGGTTTTGGTAGCAGGGGGGAGGGCTACAGGGGTGGCTTCTGTGAGAAGCTGCTAGAAGCTTCCCCTGTGTCCGATAGAGCAAATGCCAGCCGGCTCCAAGATGGACACACTGCTGGCCAAGGCCGAGCCCATCAGTGATAGTGGTAGCACCTCTGGGATAACATATTCAAGAAGGGGGGGAAAAAACCCCAAACCTGGGCAATGGCAACTTCAGTCAGACAGAGGGGTGAGAATATGTGAGAGCAACAACCCTGCAGACACCAAGGTCAGTGGAGAAGGAGGGGGAGGAGGTGCTCCAGGTGCTGGAGCAGAGATTCCCCTGCAGCCCATGGTGAAGACCACGGTGAGGCAGGCTGTCCCCCTGCAGCCCATGGAGGTTAACGGTGGAGCAGATATCCACCTGCAG